AGAAGCAGGAATGACTCAAAAGCAGTTGAATCAGCATTTAACATATTCATTCTCAACTCCTCCTCTTAAGTACTCTTAGATCCACCCTCAGCTCATTGTCACCTCAATCTGTTTCATTTATTTATTTACTATTTTTATTTTATGTGTATAAGTATTTTACCTGCATGTATGTAATTGCACCTGTGTCATGCAATGCCTTAAGATGCCAAAAGAGGACACTGGATCCCCTGGAACTGAAGTTTCCAAAGATGGGTGCTGGAAATCAAATCTAGGTCCTCTGCAAGAGTAATCAATGCTCTTAGTCATATCTCCGGTCATTTGTTTGTGTATTTGTTTGTTTGTTTTGTTTTTAGTTGAGAGCTACTTTTTAAAATTAATAATCCAGTTTTCTCTAATTTGTCACTCCCATGTTCTCCTGTATCCAGCCCCTGCATTGTAGTTGTAATTGTCCTACGAGGAACCTCACTTTTGAAAAAGACTGTCCCTCTCTCAGAAGCAGTCATCTGTCCATTGCTCAGAATTTAGGGCTCATGGACTACTTCCCATCCATGCTAGAATGTTATGTATCTTCATCTTGAGCATGTCTTGTGTAGGCAGCCATAGTTACTTTGAGTTCAAGAGTGCAGTGATCCTGTCATATCCAAAAGACATGGTTTTCTCTGGTTCTCCCTGACTTCTGGATCTTATAACCATCTCCCCATCTTCCATATGGTTTTCATATTCATTTTTCAAACATCTTTAAAGTTCATTATCTTTCCCTTAACCCCAATGCCACCCCTTTACCATAGTTCTCTCTACTTATACTTCCTTCCCATCATTCCATCTTTCCCTTTAATATCACCTGTCTTCTACTATCACCCCTTGTACCTTAAACTCTTTCTTCTCCTTCCAAGGAATGATCCAGTTTCACAGATTCGACAGATACTCCACGTTAAACATACAAATCTAGAGATCTGAACTAGGATACACTTGTAAGAACATGTGATGTACTTTTATGACTGGAATTTTTCACATGGTATAATATTTTCCATCTTTGTTTATAATTTTCATAGTTTCATTATCTTTACAGTTGAATATAATTTCATTGTATATGGTGCCACATTTTTATTATTCATTCGCAAGTTGATAGATTTCCAATTTTTTCCCATATATTCACTGTTGTGAATAAAGATGCTCTCAACATACATATTTCTTCTTCAGAGAAATTTCTGTTCAGTTTCATAACTACTTTTTAAAATTTTTTGTTGTTGTTGTGTCCTTAGTATTTGGATTCATGAATTCCTCAGCATCAGTTCCCTCTCAAAGGCTTCTAGATAGGGGGAGAAAACAAATTTAGCCATCATTTTAGAACAATAGCTGGTTGTCTCCTTTAGCTACAGGTAGGCACTATAGTATTGGAGAGGAAGATTTGAAGTCTTACATCTGAGCAGCACTTTCTGGTTAGGAACAAAATCATCAATGAGAAATAATTTTCTAAATAACTTTTTATATAGACTTAAGCCTAATGTCTGGGAAGTGTAATCCCTTGAACTCTTAAAGAAATATACTGATGACTTTTCTGTTTGGTTATACTTTCTTTTTTGGGTTTATAAAACCATACATTGGCCCAAATAAATCAATTTAGTTTTATATTTAAGGTCATTTGAGGCTCTGTTCCTCAGGGGTCACATGGGCTTGGGAGGAGCTCCAGGCTCCATTCTTTTACCAGTTCCATCTATGTGAAGATAAGTCTAAGGTCTTGCTTGACCATGTCTGGCTTCACTTGGAAGCAAGAACGAGATGTTTCCTCTGAGTTGACCCTCCTCTTTGTAGACTGGACAGTGGTTCAAGTCCATCTTGTGGGGTTACCATGGCCTCCCTGAACAAGGGGAGAGGTGACTCACCACAGTTACAGGACATTTTCAAAGATGTTACATAGTCCCCTGGAACTTAGTCGACCTTGGAGTGCAGGGGGCAAAAACTGTCCTTTAAGTCCCTCTGGCCACATTAGTATAGGCCTCAAAGTATGGCTGTTAAATATCCAATAAGGTTAGTTCCACCAGTCTGGTACTTTTAATTATCATGTGTTATGTAGATAAGCCTTGGGTAACAAAACTCAAATATTCTCAGAAAAACTTTGACTAGATATATATTTTGTTCCTTAAACTATGACTGCAGACATTTTAAGATTATGTATATATTATTTTTGTCTCATCCTTTATATATCATAGCAAACCTACATAGACCTTCATCACTTGTTTAGGCTCTCTCATTTTTTCTATTTTAGAAAATATCTGCATTCACATATCCTTTAAAAATATTTTACATTCTCATTTTCTTTTTAAAAAAATAATTATGAGAACCAATAACATTAATAAATAAATGTTTCATCTGTGTGAGACTTCTTTTCCTTAGGATGCTAAGCAATGCTTATTCCCCTTCAAGGTTCTAATGTCCAGCAAATGTTTGATTAAAGTTTTACTGGGGAATCAATGAATGTATTGAGCTTACCTACTGAGATAACTGAGGGGTTGCTGAGGTGTTTGTATGACCTGAAGGTATACACTGGAAAACCTTTACCCAGTATGGATCATGCCTTCTCTTCCTAGCCTTCCCCAGATTGTATACTTTAGCCCTCCCCAAATCCAGGAGGCCATGCATGATGAGGCTCAAATTACGCTCAGTTGGCTGGGAAGAGTGGCTGGATAATGTGGTGAGGGTCCAATGACCCTGCTTGGCCCTCCTTTAATGAATAAGAACAACTGTTAACAAGCCCAATTGTGACAATGTTTAGCAGTCAGGCTCAGCTGAAGTTGCAATTATGGTGGTTATTTCATGCAGAATGGACTGCTATATAGCATCATCTCATTAAAAAGACCTAGAACTTAAAAGGATTTTGTGCTAGGATCCATTTATGAGGGAGAACATATGTCATTTGTTTTTCTGAGTCTGTGTTACTTCACTTAGTATAACAGTTTCTAGATTCATCCATTTACCTGCAAATTTCATTATTTCATCTTTCTTTACTGCTGAGTGGAACTCTACTATGTAAATATACTTCATTTTTGTTAGCCACTCTTCAGTTGAGAGACAGTTAGGTTGCTTTCATTTCTTAGCTGTTGTGAAAAGAGCAGCAACAAACATGGTTTTACAAGTGTCTCTACAAAAGAATCACTCTTTTGGATATATACCAAGGAGTTGTGTAACTGGGTCATATGGTAGTGTCACTTTTAAGTTTTTAAGAGTTCTCCACATTGTTTTCCATAGAAGTTGCACGAGTTTGCTATCCTATCAGCAGTGAATGAGCGTACTCCTTTCTCCACATCCTCTCTAGTGTTTGGTATCATTTGTTCTCTTGATCCTAGCCAGTCTGATTGGAGTAAGGTGATACCTTAGTATGGTTTTAATTTGCATTTCCCTAATTTCTAATGATGTTGAAGACTTTTTGAGATGTTTGTTAACCATCTTTACTTCTTTTGAGAACTCTGTTTAGATCTTTAGCCCATCTTTTAATTAGGTCATTTGGTTTCTTGATTCTTAGTTTTTTAATTTCTTTGTATATTTTCATGGTAAACCCCTGTCAGATGTATCACTGGTGAAGATTTTTTTCCCATTCTGTGGGTTTTCTTTTCACTTTTTTGATTGATTCTTTTGTTTTTCAGAAGCTTTTTGGTTTATTGAGGTCTCACTTTTTGATTGCTGACCTTAATTCCTAAGCAATTGCTCTCTGATTTAGAAAATCCTTTCCTACACTTATATTTTGTAAGTTACTGCCAATAATTTCTTCTAATATTTTCAGGGTTTCCAGTTTCACTATGAGGTCTTTGATACATTTGGAGTTGACCTTTGTGCAAGGTGAAAGATAAGGATCTAGTTTTATTCTTCTACGTGTGGAGATCCAGTTTTGCCAGCACCATTTGTTAAATATGCTCTTTCCTCCTTTGTGTGATTTTGTCTCCTTTGTCGAATATCAGGTGGCTGAAATTGCATGTACTCAGGTTTGGGTCTTCAATGATGTTCCATTGATTTATTTGTCTATTTTTGTGCCAGTACCATGCTGTTTTTAAGACAATAGCTCTGTAGTATATATTGAGACTCAGTATAGTAATCCCCCCAGTGTTGCTTTTGGTGCTCAGGATTCCTTTGGCTATGCAGGGTATTTTGTGCTTCCATATGAATTTAAGGATGGGTTTTGCTAATTCTGTAAAGCATGTCATGGGGATTTTGATTGGGGTTGCATTGAATGTATATATTGCTTTTAGAAGGATGCTCATTTTCACACTATTAATTCTTCCAATTGATGAACATGGGAGGTCCTTCCATCTCCTGGTGTCTTCCTCAA